ATATATTTTAACTTTTGCTATTTAAGTTAGAATTTATAAACCAAATAGGTTCGTGCCCTCTCTCTCTCTCTCTTATTGAAAAAATTTAATATATCAAGACAGCCGCTGTAGTTGTAAAAATTTTGGATTTTGTATCCATTTGTATATTGTGTATTTTAACATTCAGAACACCTATTGTAATAGTGGTTTCCAAACTGTCCCTCTGATGATGGTGTCTAAGGACCGATACATGTAATAGCACGAAGAATTGAAATAAGAAAAACTTCACCAGTCACACTGGACGGAATTGTTTTATCTTTTATAATGTTTAACTAAAATATTGCAGTGACGTATTTCGTGCACTGAGCAGAAGTTACAATTGCGAGACGCCTAAGCACCAGGAGCTGAATCTGCTATAAGTAATAACTCACGTCAAACAGAGACGAAGTCTCTTAAGATAAATTTGAAATACGGAAGAAATAACTCCTACAACTTTTCCTCTTCCTGTATTTGTCAAAGTTCTAGTTTCTTCATTATGCAGCTGAATATATGAGGGGTAGGCCTATGCTGGCCCTTGCAGCGTGACCTTCAGTGAACTGTTGTGCATCTATTATATAGCATAATCATATGTGAAGCCCCGTCGTTTTGCTGCAGCTGGATCCTGATGTTAGGCTTGATGTCCCTCTTGTGCAGGAAGCCACCAAATACCTACTTTTGGGAATGGCCGTGCAAATGCTGCGTGTCTTGTTGCCCCAGTTTCGAAGAGTGGTCGTCCATCCGGCTGAACAACTTCAAAATCTCTGCGTGCTAAAGAACTTCTCCCTCGCCATGTTCTTCGGCAGCTACGTCGGAATATATCACGCAAGTATCTTTGGTTGTGTAGTTTCCACTTACTCTTCCAAGGGGACGTTACTCACATTAGTGAATCTATTGTTACATTCAACAGAGCGGATAGGCATTTTTGAACCAAAAACTGACTTTATGCAGCAGAATAATCACTCAGCCGATCAAGAAATACCCAATATTGTATAGAACCCAGAGATGCATTTTCTTTTTCATAAGACTCACCCACTTCACCTCACGAATCCAGACTATAACTCTTTAATGAACCGTCACAACACAGCAAATAGTAAAACATCAAAGTCAGCGTTCAGCTGTGGCTTTGATGTTTTACTATTTGCTGTGTTGTGACGGTTCATTAAAGAGTTGTATATTTTAGCACAGCAGGATGCATGAAATTAAGATTAATCCAGACTATACTCTAAAATATATTTCTTGAGATCCCAAATGTCACAGTTGTTCCTGCCTTGAGGTACTCTGATTAAAATTGAGTGTGGGTTTTTCATTTTCCCGTGCGTACCATACGACTAGTTTACCTCATCCTTCTTGGTTTGATAACCCAAATAATATTTTGTGATATGTCTTCATGGCATATTGTTAATTAATTAATCTCAGGGATAACTTTACCTTTATTTTACCTTAATAATATTTTGTGAACAGTACTAATTATGAAGCCCCTCGTTTTACGGTTCTTTTGTTACATTCTCTCTCTTAAATCCGATTATGAAATATTCTCCTAAGAATTTTGTCAGAAAATCATCATCATCATCAGTAATCTGTCAGACGACAGGTCCACAGTCTCTTCCAAAACAGTTTCTCCACTTAATGCGATCTTCTGTTTTTGGAAAGAGACTATCCAGGAAAAGTGATTATGTGGTAGTTTTTCCATTTGCTTTCCACGTCAGAAAATAGCCGTAATGTTTTTCTTCTCCTAGTACGAGTATGAGAGTAAATGAGTAAAATCATAGACTGGAAATATTGTGATGGACTATGATCATTTGCTAAGCAACGTTTCCGTAAACACATTCCCGTGGTAAAGCAGTCAACAGTAGAGCTTCGGTTGCTTAGTAACCACGCTTCGGTAGGCGCGTTTGCGTGACAACGAATCATTTACATGGATTTCCATGGATATAACTATCCTATATAAGGAACCGTGGAGACTCTTCAATGAGCATTCGTCAGACAGACGTCAATGTGTTATCTGTTACAATTAACTGTAATTGTAAAGAAGTGACAATAAATTGAATTATCAATTCCAGAATCCATTATTATTAATCACACCAACTCCGAATACGTGACAATATAAAAAATTCTGAATTTGACTTTACTTTGTTCTTAACTGCCTCATGATCGTAATTTTTGATTAAATCTGCGTTACATATTGTTCCGTAACATTTAAACTAGCTACATTTTCGATGGAGGGGCACGCAGTAGCGTAGCTGGTTGAGGCACTACGCTACAAGCCGAAAGGTCGCGGGATCGAATCCAGATGAGGTCATTGGATTTTTTTTCAGTTTACCTAATCCTTCCAGCTGCATTATGGTCCTGGGGTCGACTGAACCTCTAACAGAAATGAGTACCAGGAATGTTCTTGGAATATTCTTGGGGGTAAAAGGCGGCCGGCGCGTAGGGCTGACAACCTTGCCGCCATCTGTGAGCCGATTGTCTAGAAAATTTGGGAACCTCAACATCTCACAACCCTATGGGCTTCCAAGGTCTGTAATACGGATAACTTTACTTTCTTTTTAATTACGTTTTCGGAGGACTAATTAACCTTCTTAGTACTTTGAGTCTTCCCTCATGCTTGCAGCGTTTGTTTCAAGACCAGCCTTCTTATTGTCTTCTGAGACAGAAAACATAAGGTTCCTTTTTTCTTTCTCTCGTGGATTATATAAAGTGAAGCCGTTCATCCGCACCCTGCTTTAGAAATTTTCATGACAGTTAATGTTGCAAGTTTACATAAAATAATAATGGCCATGTTTCATTTTGCCATTTGTCCGCCCACTGTAGTCTCTAGGCTACATTATGTGAAACGTATTGGGAACAGGATGAGAAGATGTCTCTAGAATTCGAAACATGTATTTTTTAAGGTGCTTATATTTTCAGATTCATGTTCATATGACTGGCATGATGCTACGCAGTGTTAAATACATCGTGGAGTTCATTTGGACAAACATTTCCAGTATATCATAGAATTATAATATGCCAGGTTCTTGACTGGGAATGTAATTATGTTTTACGGAACTATGTGATGTAAATTCGTGGACATGTTTGTAACTACGATATCATGGTACGAAAAACATGGTTATGGAGGGCCACGCCATCGTTAGGAGACCACATCTAAGAGTTCTGTCTCGATAAGTTGGGCTTCAGCTCCATCGCTAGGTCTGTAAGTTGAGGCAATATTAGGTACCGAATTGTGAAATATTAGTGAGGTGACGGTATGAGCCCAATTGTTGTAAATTTCTTGACGTCAGTCCATCAAAATTTAGATCGTGCCAAAGTCACTTATCAGTTTGGAAGTTTGTTTCTTGACGTACGCGACGCGCTTGAAACACAAATAACAGGAAATAAGAAGAGAAGGGGCAGCAGACACGTTTTTAATGTGAGGATTTATAAACAATGGGTCTCAAGCATGTATTGAATGCATGGACTTGAAGAACTGTACAGTTCAATATATGGATGAGACACAGTAATTAATTAATTATGAGGAAAGTTGATACAGGAAATGAAGAGGGTTGAGCAAGATGGAAAAGAACAATTGAGAAAATAATCTGATAACATGTAACATAGCACCTCTGTTGCTCCAGTGTGATGCAGTCTGAAATATTTAATACAAATTAACTTTTACTGTCCCAATTCACTTTGCAGGCTGTTGTCTGCCTACTGTCCCAGCTCCGTGGTCAAGACTCGGAGGTTCATGCAGTGCCAGCTGGCTTTCTTGCAGGGTCTGCCTTCTGGTTCTATCCCAAGTTGACCACATTACTCATGGTCGGCACTACAGTCTTCCAGCAGCTGACAAAGCGCGGGCAAGCCCTCGGCGTTGTGCCCCGCTCAGACTTCCTTATGAACTGCATATTCGCATTTTTTCTCGGGGCTATGTTTCATTGCCGAATAGTGGACCAGGAAATATGTCACCCCGTCTTCGTCAGCATGATGAATGCGATTTCTGGTGGCCGGTGAGTATTTTAATGCTTCTAGTTGCTGGCCGTTGTCGGTATATTAATTTCCTTTCCTCCAAAGCTTTTTCTTTTCGCCAACAAAATTATTGTTGCAGAGAAGAAAATAACAGGATGCCGTTTTCTTGGGTGTTGCGCCTTGTAGATATTGTATAATCGGTTTACACAATATCTACACGGCGCCCCATCCCAGAAGACGGCATTCTCTGTAGTCACCGCCGTGAAAACCTCAAATCTTACAAGAGCAAGCCTCTCAGGTTCGAGTAGCGCTCCAGATGAAAGGAAGTCCGAGCGAATGACTAACACATATTATAAAGGAAATTCTCACAGTGATATTTCCAAACGTTGCTCCAACATGTATCTCTGTTGGGAACGGTAGTCATAATGTTTTAAGGCGTAAGGCTCACATTGAGACGCAGAAGTAGAGGAATGAAGACTGGGACAGAACAGAACAGCAAAGGCAGGGCGAAGCAGCACACAGAAATTCGTTAACACACACAGTTCGACTGCTTCTGTGTTGGCGAATGGTTCTCTCATATCGAGTGTGGGGTCCATATTTAGGCCTTACTTTAGGGTGATGTTGAGACGTTGAGGCACTATGCTACAAGCCGGAAGGTCGCGGGTTTAAGTCCCTATGAGGTCATTGGATTTTTTTCAATTGACCTAATCCTTCCAGCCGCACAATGGCCCTGGGGTCGACTGAGCCTCTAACAGAAATGAGTAACAGGAATATTCTTAGAATATCCTTGGAGGTAAAGGGCTGCCGGCGCGTAGGGCTAACAACCTTGCCACCATATATGAGCCGATTGTCTAGAAAATGTGGGGACCTCAACATCTCACAACCCTATGGGCCTCCACGGCCTGTTACAGGGATACCAAAGCAGCCTCCGTAGTCTAGGGGTAACGTTCCCACCTCATGACTCAAGGTACGCGGGTTCAAACCCGGCGGAGGTTGTGGAATTTTTTAAGGGCGGAAAAATTCAGGGAACAAGTCCTCCGGGAGGGACTTTAAGCCGTGGGTCCCGTGTCGTAGAGATACGGCACGTAAAAGATCCTCATGTCTCTAGGAGACCTCTGAGCAAAATTGAGCAACACATTTCCCGCCAAAGTAGTTTCCAATTTCTCTGGTAGATGGGGGGAAGTATCGAGGTACCGATAGCTGACCTCGTTGGCTGAACGGGGCTGATAGCACGAACCAGTACCGGTAGGGTATGGCGACAGTAGAAATTAAAGGGGGACGCACAATGGCCCAATAACTGGTCTAAGTGCATGGGGAAACCCACCCCCTCTAATAATAATAATAATAATAATAATAATAATAATAATAATAATAATAATACAGGGATACCATTACTTTACTGTTTTACTTCTCTTTGGGGGGACCAGACGTCCCTTTTTTTGAGCCAGATGTTCCGTTGTCCCGACTAAGATTACGAGTAAATGGGATACCAAAGATTCCCCCTCCTTTTTTTCCAACAGAGCCATTTTAATTATAAGTTACATGAAAGTGTTATCTTACACACCCATTCATGATACTTGGGCTACAGCTGTATGATGATGATTCGTAGGCGCACTACACGACAGCGTAATGAACAGTCTGTCTCGCATGCCGCATTCCTGACGTTTTAATGACCCAGTTCTCATTATTTGGTTCTATTTATTGGAGATTCGGTTAAAAATGTGTTACAATACTAGTATTATAAAAATATGAACTGGCAGTATTTCGGGCTGTGAAGCACTTGTAGCACTCGGTATTTTAGAGACAAACAAACAAAGAACCAACTCCGTGGCTTGAGTACGCAAGCGAACTACACCGACTGAGAGACCGCCGCTTGTCGGCGAATTTAGTGCCAACTTCAGCAGATAGAGGATGCTGCGTGGTCAGTGCAACGAATCCCCACGGCAATTAATTTAGTTTTTCTAGACCAGAGCCGCTATTTGCTTGAAATAGCTCCTCAGTTATCCTCACGAGGCTGAGTGGATCCCTTTCCAGACCCACTACTTCTCAGAAAATCTTGTAGTGCCGGGAATTGAACACAGGACCTCTGGATCTGTAGCCAGGAACTCTGACCACTAGAACACAGAAGAGGTCTGATATTGTAGTAAAAAATATGAAAAGCATTAGGCATGAAAATTTTCGCACATCTCTGTTGTCTGATTTTAAAGATTGTTATAGCAATGAAAAATTCATTGAAGCAGCTACTTCCCTTTATAACTAGGGTTGCCAACTCGCCGATTTTCCGCCGAATATTCTCTCTCTACGTGTATTATGTCCTAGCAAATTCTCTCCACTAGATTATGAGGCCTCTAGTTGGCAATACAGACGCCTTCGTTAAGAACATTTCTTAAAATCAATATAGGATATCAACCTTCAAAAAGAAGACTACCTTGCAGGTTTTGACATTATTAGGCAGTTCACCAATGTGCCATTGGAGGAAGTCTTACATATCATAAGAAATAGACTCAATGGGGATTCTTCTTTCTCAGAACGCTCACCTTTACATGTTGAAGACGTAATGGAACTACTGGACATATTTAAACATCCACGTACTTCCAGTTGAAAACAAATTTTGTCAGCAAAAAGAGTGTATTGCAATGGGAAATTCACTGTCTCCGGTGATCAGTGATATTTTTATGGAACACTTTGAGGAAAGAACATTGCATACAGCAGACCACAAAACCGCTAAATGGCTCAGTTACGTCGTCGACAATTTTTTTGTTTGTGATTTGTTGGTCTATGGGTTTGTCTATTGCTCTGCGGGTTCGGACACGGGCAGCGGAAGTGACACGAAGAGATTCTTTTCCTCTGGAACGGCCAAACTCTTTGCGGCAGGCTGTCATATGATTTCACTGTATTAGCTGAAACTGTAAAATCATGCCATTTTAAGTACCTCTACCTTTTATCCATACGTTGTAAGAAAACGTATATTATATGACTGGCACACATTGTGTCTCAAGGAAAAAGTGTCTCTTGAATTTAAATTGCGTCGTTTATAGTTTTTTTTTCGATTTCATGACATAGTACTTTCTGTCAAGAGCATCACAATATGTCACGTTTTCTGTTGCAGAGATGAAGAATGTCGAGCTGTTTACTTGAGACTTCGAGACAACTATCAAAAGCGTTAATTTTCTGTGAAAGAATTTGGTGTGGTCTTATAAGACGTAACAAATTGTCGGATCCAAAAACAGATGACTGTGCGCGTTCAAGAAGTCAAGCCAAAATGAGATCTAAAATGTTCTATAAATGTTTTTCTTCCTCTGTAATTTATTGTTACATAGAGAGATGAGTGTCAGGAAGTTGAAGGAAACTGCATAATGAGGAGCTTCATAACTTGTACGTTTCTCCAAGTAGAACTGGAATCATCAAGTCAAGGAGGATGAGGTTGGCAAGGCATGTAGCACGAATTGGGGAGAGGAGAAATGCATATAGGATATTGGTGGGAAAGCCTGAAGGAAGAAGACCACTAGAAGACCAAGTCGTAAGTGGGTGGACAATATTGAAATGGATCTCAGAGAGATAGGATGGGATGGTATGGATTGGATTGATCTGGTTCAGGATAGGGACTGCTGGATGGATCTTGTGAACACGGTAATGAACCTTCGGGGGCCCATACACGTACGAGTCTGGCTCGCGAGTCCGACTCGGCTCGGATTCCAATGAGCCAAACTCGTCCGTGTATGGGTCGCCACGCTCATAATTGTGTGGTGAAATTAATCCGAGCCCGGCTCTTCGCCGAACCGGACTCGCGAGCCAGACTCGTATGTGTATGGGCCCCCGAAGGTTCCATAAAATGCTGGGAAGTTCTTGAGTAGCTGCATAATTGGCAGCTTCTTAAGAAGGGCTCAGTTCCATGAGTGAGTGCATGAGTTCCACATCCGAATCCAAACCTTGGTCTTCTCTAACCACAGGCGTTCTCTAGTCGTACATTTTCCAATATTTGTATTTGTATTTGTATTTTATTTTTTTAGAACAAAGTAAATATTCATGCCCACAGAAGTACAGCATTAATTTTAATCACATATAAAAGAAGATGGAAATGATATCATTTAACTCATATATTTCCCAAACAAAATTTTATTTCCCTTCTTAAGATCGAAAATAAATTTCACAATACCAAATTCTATAGTTGTAGTACTTAAGAGCTGACAGTCCTCCGACGCGGAGTAGGAGAAGTATTGGTAGTGGTGGGGAGAGCTCCAGCATGCCGACAAGTGTGGAGGGGAATGCAATACAGGCGTTCTCAAAAGGAAATAACTTCTTACCTCATTGTGTTGCATAGCGATGTTGGTCACACATCCGATGTTAAGTTTTAAGTGCCGAATGGCAGACTATTATGCACTATACACTATTATACACTTTTCACTGTTATACACATGAAGAGTTTATTTACACATTACACGGGTCTATTCTAAAGGGTCAACACCGGCAATGTCCACATAGATATCATCTCCACATGCCTGTCCTTCCTCGTCACCACCAGATGAATCGGAGCTATCATCAGAACTGTCATCACTATCACCGCCATCATGGAAGAGGAACTCCCGTCCTGCGTCCAAAAGGCCTTCCCGTGCCATTAATTTTTGCTCAATGTTCCTTACATGTTGGCACCTACGTTGCCACTCTTCTGCAGTTATGGAAGCCAATTTTTGGCCTGCCAGTTTAATTACTTCATCCATCTTAAATGTGGTACTGTTTTGAGCAACCCAATTTATTACTGTGGCCCATATTAACTCAGTTGGATTGAGTTCTGGGTGATACGGAGGGAGTCGTAAAATATTGTGATTGTGTTCTGCAAAGATTCCATCTATTTTATAGGAAAGGTATTTCGGTTTGAGTAGTAGGATCGTATTGCATATGTCTGGATTCCGCAATGATGAAAAATCAGTGTTATTGAAGGTAATAGGTGGAAGGTGATATTTTAGCCAGGATATCATAAAATCTCTTCTTGAATTTGAGATAGGGGCTCTGTTTAGTTGTTCATTATGGTAGGGAGCATTATCAATGACAAGGACAGAATTTGGGGAAAGGTTAGGAATAAGTCGCTCCTTTAACCATTTTTCATAATTGGTGTAGTTCATGTCACTGTGGTAGTCTTTTTTTTTTTTTGGTGGGATTTGAAGCGGACATATGCATTAGGGGTGAAACCTCGCTCTCCTCCTGCATGGATAACAATGAGCCGTTGGCCTTTGGACACAGGGGAAAATAATCCCTGGATGGATCCATCACTCCATGCATATGGGGTGGTGTGCGATGAATGAATATAGGTTTCATCCATGTAGATGATTGGGCGGACCTCTTCCTTATATTCTTTAATTTGCCGCAAATACTGAAGACGTTTGGCTCTGATATTATATCGTTCCACCCGTATCTGCTGATTATTTTTTGTTTCCTTCCAGCGGAACCCCAGTTTCAAAATACACGCAGTTTTCTTTAATGTGGAGATGCATCCTTGAAAATCTACTTCAACTTTTCGTGAACTTTTTCAGGGTAGGTCTCCGTTTTTCGACTATGTAGAAGTCATTAATTGTTCTTCGCACCACAGACTCGTTAAAGTCGTCAAAAGTGGCTAGTGGAGATCTCTTAGGTCTTCCTTTCTGGGGTTCCGAGAAGGAAGTGGAAGCCCCAGATTCGATATTTTTTGTTTCTCTTATTATTCTTCTGACACTACTTTCTGATACACCTGTTGCCTTAGCTACTTCCACTCCTATGTTCTTCACTGTAATTGTTGGCCCAGACTCTTTCATATACTTATATACATTACTAACAATTTCTCTTGACTGTGAATGCGACACTTTTCCACTCAATTTACTTCGTGTAGGTGGCATGTTAAAGGAGATAGAAAAAAATGTACTAATACAAGTAAACAAAAAAGAAAATCAACGAATGAAAATAAACAATAAAATAAAATATTAATACAGTAAATAGAGAATAATACACTCAAATACGACTCCAAGAGTCAAAACTTTTTAACTTGACTGTACAAGGAAGAATGCTCTTGAGACGTCTGCTCGCACTGAGTGCAGTTGAATGACTAATCACAACACCCCTCTACTTTCACGAATGGACCTGCCCATCCACTGCTCAGCTTTTCCTGGACTGTCACTTCTAAATACTAGAACTTTACATACTTGAAACAAACAGTGTTATTATTTCTGCCTAATATCTCGGAATAAGAATCCATTAGTCAGAATCTTAAAATATTGTTTTCATGGAGGCACTGAAGATATATTTGATGGGAATAAATTTTCATCTTATTATTAGATGTTGGTTTGACGATAGTTTGGAGAAATTATATTGTAATTTTTGTGGTTTTGCAAGTTGTAATATCCTGCATTTTCTGAAACGAATTCGGGATATCTTCACCAATAAAACAGTAATAAATTTGGCATATTTTTGTTCTTTTGCAAAGTAGCAGATGGAACACAAAATAACTTATGGATAATGGTCTCTTCACTACTGCCATTACATCTTCTTCCATGGATTCTTAATTTTCTATAATATTCTTTTCGCTCATTTGGCTTCCTCGTCATTTGAAAAACGTTAATCTGAAACGAAAAGAAAGGCCTTTATATTGGTCTTTGAAAATTCTGAGTGTTTATTATTCATTGTAGAAATATATTTCTTGAGATTAAAACAATGAATTTTGAATAGAATTCATAAATCCTACTTTTCTGCTGAACAGACAGTCTATCTCACAAATCTTTTGTTGCTAATTCCATATTTAGGTATATGCATTTACAACACAACAATAAAGTGCAGCTCAGATCTTGAGATGGCTGAAACAGTCGCACGCATATGCATGTACACGTAAGCCCAAATCCTATGAAGTTAAGAATTTCTTATTGCTTGCAAATGTAAATATGTTTAAATTATTATTATTATTATCTTCTAGGTGCGCCCTTGCTACCAGCGTGGTGGGTAAAGATCTCGACATATTTGCAGACGGAGCGGTTTCTCTGAATCGTATTTTACAAGCATGTACCAAACCTTTTACGGTGTTACTTGATTAGTGTTTTCATTCACTACAAATATGTGTTACCTCGGCTAGCTTTAATTATTCTTATGTAATTGGTTTTAATTTATTGACTGGTTATTAATTTTATTAATTTTATGCTATCACTCACTGGTGTCTTATCTTAGTATTTAGTTACTAACAGTATTAGCAACATTCGTAATATTTCATAAATGTATGTATATATTTCAGTCTTCTTTAGATCTATGTTCACAGATTTATTTGTCGTATTTGTATTTTGTTTTAATTATTTTGTACCTTATATACTCGTGCTAACTTTGTAATTGGCCGCTGGGCTGTTAAGTTATTGCACGTAAATAAACATGAATTGAATT